AACAAGATAAAAACAAACCTTCAGTTGGGTTCATGGACAGTCAAAATATGCATTGTCATTTACAGTCACAATGTCGTCCTCCTTCTTAGCAAGCTCCTTCTTGTTTAAAGGTCTTTTTCGTACCTATAGCATTCATTAAAAATCTTTTTAAAATTGTTTTACAAGAACCATGAATATGATAAGCGTGATGAAAATGAGTTTCATAGTTATCACTTTTCCAATAAGACAAAAGAGATTATTTTCCAATGAACTCCTAAAGATACGAAGGAAGAAAGAAGGACAAGAAACAAATGAAAATGAACAGGCCTAAAACGGGCCAATTCATATCTCACATCAATTTCAATTCACATCAGTCACATCTCAATAAAGAAAAAATGAAAATTTTCATCACAAATAAATTACTTGAGCCTTTTTATATGTTATGCATGTATGTATAAATTACTTGGGCCTCAACATACCACGACTTTAATCTTAGCAACATTGTTTTCCCTTGCATTATTCTCTTTTTCTTTCATCGGTAAAGGTTGATGCATCTGCTTCTTCCTCCCATACTGATTGCCGTTGATCTGATCAAAGTCATCTTCAAATGCTCTAGTATCTCCAGGCATGAATGTTGATGGCTCAAAGGTTCTGAAATAACATGCTGATGAGAAGAAAGCAATCAGAGCTAATACAACAAATTAAAGCATAAATTCTTGTATTCCTCTATACTTAGCAAGAGAATCATGCCAAATGCAAAAGATCAATGGAAACAAAAACACATAATGTGAAAATAACGGAGAATTAAACCAGATAAGTGCTATAAGGCTGCGGGTTCAGACATTTGACCCAAGATCACTTTCTAATTAGCTGCCAATATATTTAAGTTTCTTTTCACCATCACCAGCACAAACGGCTGGATAACACGGTATAAAAAAATAGCAAAACTTTTGATGGCACCCATATTTAAGTTTCTTTTCACCATCACCAGCACAACAGCAGGATAACATGGTATAAAAAATTGCAAAACTTTTGATGGCACCTACTAACGCTCAGTGTGGCAATCTTAAATGATATATAGAAATGCTGCATGCAGCACAAATTTTACTCTAACAAACTGTGGACAACGTATCAATGGCTTAATCAGATTTAAGTAAACTTCCCAGCATCAGATGATAATCATACCTCAGATAAAAGTTCTGTATCGTCCATAGCATGAAGATCCAACAGCCTGCTCCAAAATCCCCCCGGAAATCAGGAGAATAAGACTCATCTGGTACTGCCACACTGCCTAAAGTTTGGGCAGTCGGTGTAGATGGCTCCGCACCAGATTCTCCATTAAAATTGAGGCTTCTCATTAACTTAAAGAGCCTCTGCTTTTCTTCAGCAGACTGTGCTCCATAACCCTGTAAAAATATCATGCTTATATAAGTCTTGTCATAGGTTAGGTCATAATTACATAGGAAGAAAATTGGCATTTTCAGACTCTAATGCACTCAATGCAAACAAGAAAACTAAAATATTGCACACATTATCACTGAAAATGTGAGACTGCCAAAACTAAAAAAAGTGTGATATAAGCAAATGCTTCAAGATTTTAACTCAACATATCCTAACCTAAATACAAATCCTGCTACATAATATCTACTTAACAACTTTTGTCTGGCAAAATTTCATCATAAAATTCAAAATATATCAATCCCAGCGATGCAACCTGGCCTGCTAACAGATACGGTAGCAGAATATGCTCCTAATCACTAAACCAGTATGTCCGATGCAGCCGGAAATCCTTCCATAAACAGAATTAACTGGAAAGAGAAAATAAGAACGAGGGCTGCTGAGGGAATTATAAGTGTCCATGCGACCGCCTCAACTTCCAGGAGATTTTACGCTAATCTTCAAGTGAAAAAACTATCATGTGACCAGTAACGCAGCAAACAAGCCGAAGAATTGCAAGAGAAGAAAAGACAAGTATCAGGAATTATAGGACGATACCTGCATGAGAATGTTGGGAAGGAGGCGATTATCAATACCAGCAGAGGCCAATGGAGACGCCAGATGCTGCAAGCCAGCAGACTGCAACCAACGCGCCATTACGGCATCACCGGCATCACCGGCAGGAGCTGCATTGTGCAGAGACCCGCCGCCGGCATGGTCGTACAGGGCAGTGGCCGCAGCATTAGCCTGCTGCATCTGGCCGCCCAAGTGGCGCTGGGAACGTCTTTGGGGAGCCAACTTTTAAGATCTGTATACACACGCTTCAAACAAAAACATATATCAAACGACCTAAAAATCAGAAGAGAAGGAAAGGGAGGGAAAAAAAAACAAAATCCAGATCACAGTAAAAACTGAAAAGAGAAATAGATCCAAAACCGATGATCCAAACCAAGACACTCACAATGAGGAGAGAATTCGAATTCGAAGAAGAACATAACAAGTCGAAAGATAGAATCCAAATCCACGAAATCTACAATCGAACCGAAAAAATTTTCAGAATTCCACATAAACTAGATAAACATTAAAAACATGAGAGAAATGATAAATTCACGCCAAATTGATCATTAAGAAACGCACCCGACCTGTGCACGAGTTACAATAATTGAAAAATGCTGAATTGGGATCAGATCTGAAACTGCGGGGGAAAAACAAAGAAAATCCAAAATCGATCGTACAGCTGAACAAGAAGAGCGTTAGCAGAATTTCTATTCTGGTGAAGCAAATGGCGACAGCGAGGATAGGAGATGATGCATAACACAGATAGAGCAAGGATGCCTTCAACAACAATACAGATGAGATACTTCGTCAAAAATCCAAGTATCTATCAATGGAAACTTGGCAGATAATATAATTTTCAAAATTATTAAACGGCTATGTTCGATGGGAAAGATTGTAATTTTCAAAATTTTCAAGTGACAAATAAAACTTTTCCCTTATTAGATTTTGTTATAATGCATGAAAATTCTTTTTCCATGTTTCTTAGATGACGTTTTCAAAAATAGGGGAAGAAAAGATTGTAAGAAAAATAAGTTTTGAGGAAATTATTAACCCTTAGAAAATAATTTTTAAAGTAATCAAGATTTAACCTGATCTTTGGACACCACTGGGTTGTCAAAAGAAATAATAAATTATTAGTTATACTAAGAAAAACTAAAGTTTAAAAAGTATTACCAAGTCATAAATAAAGTTTGATGTGAAAATTCTGCCAAACCCTCAACAAAAATTAGATAAATAAATTCAATCATAGTCATATAAAATGAAAATGAGAAATGATTAAAAGAAAATATAAGCAGGGGCATCTTTGGTTAATTAAAATGCCAAAAGAACAATCCTCTTTGTCACTATTAAAACCGAAAAATGGGCGTGACAACCACTTCAGTTCCTTTCTAAGCAACCACTAGTTTGTGTCTCTGTGAAGAGTCATGATCAGGAGACACATACAGCATGGAATTGGCCCCAAAGAGAGAGAGAGAATTGCGGTGAAAGAAAAAGGACATACATTGAAGAACTTTCCATTTATTTCTGAATATGAGATTCAATCATTTTATTTTTTATATTTATTATTTTTTAAACTAATTTATTTAACTTATACACTAACGTCACATCTATTATAATTAAGTGGTTAATTGGTTTATTTAACTTTCTTTAACCTTTCTAACTTAATTAAATAACTCTTATATTAAAAAAAAACAGAGAGTATTTGAAAACATATTTGGTGCAAACTTAGAGTATTCTAAAGTCATTTTGGATTTAAAACTAATCTCTGTCAGATTGGAAGTAATAAGATTAAAACTTTTCTAACAAATGTGTTCCCCAAAATTCTAACTTTTTTTTTTATTCTTACGGGAGTAAATCCACTTACCATCTCAATTAATAACTTGTTTGTTAGTAGTATTTGAGAATATAATTAGTATTGAGTTTTGTACTATCACCATCAATTTAGTAAAATATATATACATATATAAGGAGTCACTATTCAAGCGTTAGATACGATGTAACTTATTTCAAGATTCGTGTAGATACATGAGAGGTTAAATAATAGCAAATCATGATCATCCCATGTGTGTGGAGTTTCAAAAATTATCATTACCACGTATAAAGAAGATTATCAATATCAATCAATATACCACATTAAAAAAGTGAAGTAAGGTTTGGTGTGCAGACTCTATTCCAATTGTATCTATACATTATGGACCAAAATTTATAGTATCTCAGCTCAGGCTATCCAAAACCGAGTGTTTGAGTGCGCAACAATCTCCGAATAGTACTGTCTACAACGTACGTGTAAATGAATCAAACACCTTCTCTTGCACATTCCAGGGAAACCAAAACTTCTACTTCAGAATTTGCAGATTCTGAAAAGGAAAAAGAAGAATCAATCAAGTGATGGAGACAATGAGGAAGCCATTGATGATGGTGGGGATTGATGAAAGTGAGCACAGCTTCTACGCTTTAGAGTGGGCACTCACAAATTTCTTCCCTTCTGAAATACCCCTTTATTTCCAGCTTATGGTTGTTCATGCCAAACCCTCTCCCTCTTCTCTGGTTGAGATCAAGGGTATGTTACATAGGTGCTAATCGGCAATATAGGTGCTAATTGGCAATAAATCTCTACTTATACTCCTCCGGTCCTTATTATAAGACCCAATTTGACTTTTTATTTGGTCCTAATTATAAGACCCAATCCATTTTCTCTTTTATATTTATGTATTTTTTTCCAAGATAATCCTTCTAATAATGATAGTTTTAGCCAATATACTTAATTAGCAAGGATATTTTAGGAATGACAACACTTATTTATTATAAATAACCAACTTAACTTACTTCCTTAATCTCCTCAAATAAGTCAATTGGGTCTTATAATTAGGACCGGAGGAGTATTAGATTTGACAATGCTATTTACACACACACACACACACGAGTGCCAAAACTTCTGTGAAATTAATGATCGTTTTCAGTTTCAGAATCTGGAAGCACGGAGTTCGTATCAATTCTAGGAGAAGATCTTGAGAATATGGCTGATAAAACCATGCAAAAAGCCAAGGAGATTTGTAGCAGCAAATCAGTAATAACTTTCTTATAACACTGCCTTTCCTCATTAAATGTCTGTACCCGAAATGGGATTTGTTTGTTTGAAAAGACGAAGTTATTATTAGAACGAAAGGTTCTATAAATCATTTGTTTTTTGCAGGTGGGGAATGTAATAACTAAATTGTTGGAGGGGATGCAAGGAATGTTCTGTGTGAAGCCGCAGAGAAATATGGTGCCACTGTTCTTGTTTTGGGTAGTCATGGTTATGGTGCTGTCAAAAGGTATACATTTAAGTAACACAAGGATTGAAGAAGCAAAACTTTGGAACCTTTCCCATTACCCCAAAAAAAAAAAAAACGTGTTTAATTACATTAAAAACTTGACATTTTACATTCTTCAAATTTAGGATGCATGAAAATTTGAAAAGCTTGTGTCTCACACATTTTCAGAATAGGCATACTGTGACACTTGAGTTATATCTAAATATTTGAAGATTCTGATGGGTTAAAATCAGATTTCCTAAATTACCACTCTAGTTGGAAGAGGATTTGAGTTTAGGTTGTTGGGTACACTACAAACGACTATATCAACTGAACTAACTGATAATGACAACAATTGTTACATTTTAAACAACTGATACTGCTCAAATGATGCAATAAAGTGGTGATGTTGCGGGGTTTTTCTAGGCAGCGTGAGCGATTATTGCGTGCTACATGCGCAATGCTCAGTGATGGTCGTCAAGAGGCCAAAGATAAAGCGAATATCGTCCTCTTCCCGCCTCCCCGATCTCGTACAGTGAGTGATGATGTAGGAGTCCATAGTTATTACGATTTGGTTCTTGCTGTGATTAGAAAGAAAGAAAAGTTTTAGCTTTTCTAGGATCTCCAGTTAGCCAACGGCGTGTAATGGCTTTTGTTCTGAGATGGTTGTTTGGGTAGACACTTCAATTATCCAAAAGTTTTGAGTTTGAATATATCATCCAGAGCATGTAGAACGGGATACCAACAAAGGATTCAATTTGTGCTTAACTTATCTCCAATTTTCGTTTGAACAGGGGAAGAGAGAGAATAATGAATTCCCTCGAAGCTGAGCTGATGGTGTTGAGGACCATAGCATCATGTCCAACCTTGCTATCGGAAAAAATTACTCATCTGATCTTTAATATAGGATCCAACTGTTAAGTTGATTTTGGTTCTAAATATAAGACCATTTATTATATTTATTAATTTTCTCTAAATTACCCCTATGAATACTCCTTCAACCATAATCAAGTAGAAGGGGAAGAGGAAGTATTAAAAAAGATGATTATGGTATTTTAGGAAAAGTGTGTCACATTTCTTATAATTAACTAACTTACCTAACTTCCTTAATCTAATCAAATTAGTTAAATGAGTCTTATATTAAAGACCGGAGAAGTATTACTTTGCTTAGAATAAGAGCCACTTGTATTCAATTTGATTATAAATATAAAATCTTAACTCATTTTGTGTCTCATATTTCATCCATTTTGTTCCCAAATAATCTTAATAGTAGCTACATATGTTGAGATTTTCATCAAAAAATAATTTCAATGTACGTAATTAACAAAATATTTTTAAACAAAAACATACATTTGTTATAACTAACTAACTTAACTTTTTTTTTTTAGTTGAAACTAACTTAACTAATACCTACAAATTAGTTATCCCTTTAGTTCTTAATGTAAAACACAATTGTTAAATACATATTTTTTATATTTATTAATTTTTTTTAAATTATCCTTATTAATATTCTCTGAATCATAACCAAATAAGAAGAAAAGATATTTAAAAATAATTACAATAGTTTTTAAAAACATATCATACTCCTTAAAATTAACTTTCCTAACTTCTTTAATTTAATCAAATTAATTAACTAAGTCTGATATTAACAACCAGAAGAATATCTTATATTAAGGATCTAAGAAAGTACTATTTTAGCTCTTTTGACCACTGGTTCACCTCAACTTGAGAAAGGCTATATAAAATTGCACAACCGGACTGATTTTCTCGAGAAATTCGGGGGTAGAATCTCATGGTTAAATTAGAACTCCAACAATTGCAAGCTCCAGCTAATGATAGATGGATGGATCACGATTTTGTTGCCCTTCAGTAGAACTGAAATTGAAAGCATGAAACTGTTTTGCACTAAAGGATCGGATCCTGATCTGAGTTTATTCTCAACGCAAGGTTGAGACCAGAAGTTCAAGTCAAGCATTTTTCATATGGATACCCCACAAACGTTTCAAAGACAAATAACTTCAAACAAAAGAACAATATTAACAAATTTAACTGGCATTCAAAATTTAGCGGAATCAAAGCGTAAACTGTCCCACAATTTAAAAGAGTCAGATCGATAATTTATAATAACACCATTAATCCTGAACACTTCCAGTCACTTGGTACATAACGAAAAGAGAAATCAAATAGATAGGGGGCAGAAACCCCAGATTTGAGGGTTATGATGCCACTTAGCACTTCACCTCCTTCAAAGCATAAGCAAGGTAAAGAAATGTTGGATCAGTAGCACCATCCTTGTAGTAAGCAAAGACCAAACTACCATCATCGTGCATGCTTTCCCCAACAAAACTGCAAATAAGACTAAAACTAAGTAGACTTTCTGAGGAATTTTACACTGTATTGGACCAAGAGATATTGATAAGTCATGTCAAATATGCTAGCATAGAAACACGCACACATGCACACAAAGGCAGTTTTAGCATTTATGGTAACAACACTTACAACTGAAGATCACTGATTTTGGAGAGCAGGAATTTGGTAGCTCCCTCAATATGCTTCTTAAACAGCTCTTGCTTCTCTGCCTCTAGTTTGGGTGTTAACAATTTGATATACCTCTTCATGAAGACAAGAAATTGTTTCTTGTCAAAGGCAGGTTGCTCCTGCAAGGATTAGGTAACAAAATACTTAAACTATGAACTTAGAAGAAAAATACTCTGGATATGAAAAGAAGAGTAAGGTTGCACGATTGGCCTAACTAACCTGAAGTCTGAACGTATCAACAATGTCAACAACCTTGACAGCTTGGTCATCAACCCCCTCATCTTCTCCGCCTTCAGCAGAAGGGTTAGCACCAATGTCTACATCTACTGCTCCCTTAACAACCCACTACAGCAGGCCAAAAGAAACAGTCCTCAACTTACCATTCATATAAAAATATATATATATATATAGAAACCAAGAAACTGAATAAGTATTTTACAACCATAGAAAATCAAAAAGCCACATGCAGACAAACCCAAAAATCCAACAAATGGGAGAAAAATTAACTAACCTTTCCATCAACTTCCCACAACATTCCATTCTCAATTTCCTTGTATGGAAACGAGTCCGAGAGAAGCTCATCACCTGCGCGATACATGGTCAGAATTGCTCCAAGAAATCCAAATATTATACACTTAATAAATTAATAAATGAGCACAGTCAATTTTTCAATATAAGAATACTAAAAAAAGGAACAGTTGAAATATAACATGCAAGTCCCCCATAATTTTCTACATCAACAACAAAACTCGCGTCAGACAATCAACCTAACTGAAACAGCTTTTGGCCCAAAATGAAAATTTGGGAAAAAAATGTTGAACAGCAATTGCCCCCAAAAGTAAAATATAATTATATGTACAACATTTAAAAACAAACTTTCAAAGGTATTCAGCAAGGACCTCTTACTTCAGTTGATCCTTAGCGTTAAAAACTTAAAACTTGCTACTGAATGAATATACCTTAGTTCATTAGAAGGGGCCCACCACTATAACCTGTTCAAACATAGATTTGCTGATATCGATTAAGGAAGATGCATAAGTAGCATTAAACAATTGTCGACCCTGTAAAATCGGGGGTACCTAACCTGATGCAGATTCAAGACCTATGCATAAAATATTGGCCCCCAACATTTAGGGCCAAGGAAAACACTCCAAACACGAGATTTAGGTTACTAATACTACAAGAAAAACCATCCCATCGGCTCTAATCGTATACCCCAATTTACTGCGAACAACGCAAGCCACGGAAAATAATCGATCCCTCGATAAAGAAGTTGTCAATAAGAGCGCATAACCAAGATTAGCCCAAAAAACACATGTGCCTCAACTTTCGATAACATATAGATGCCAGATCCGACCCTTTACAAAAGGAACATAAAAGGTGAACAAGTAAATCAAAAGTAGCATACGAAAGAAAATTATCATAACGAAACAGATCTAGGCAAGCTCGTATAGACAACAGCGACAATCTAATACAGAATCAAACGAAGAAATTACTGCTTTTAAGAGTGGAAAGCATGAAAATAAAAAGCAACCAGACGGAAAACAAAAATAACGGATGAGACAACGAATTCAAAAAAAAATCACAAACGTTCAAAGAGAAAGTTGAATCAGAAGATACCGGTGAGGAGATCCTGGTAAACCAACATGATTGAAAACTTTCTCTCGGATCGCTCCAACCACAGCTCAAGGGGAAGAGACAGAAAGGGGGCGCAACAGAGCTTAGAGGGGGCGAGGTTACATAGTGCCGGACAATTTATACGTGGAGAGCTTCAGATGCCGACCCTCTCACGTTACCGTATCAATAATATCTTACTAGGACTAGAAGAGATACGCATGTAAATCCGTATTCTGGACTCCCCTTAAAAAAAAAAATCAGATAAAATTTGCCCAAAAAAAGATGATAGTAGTAGTACTACTCCGGTCCTTAATACAAGACCTAATTGTTGAGTTGATTTTGGTTCTAAATATAAGACTTATTTCTCATATTTATTAATTTTCTCTAAATTACCCCTATAGATACTCTATCAACTATAATCAAGTAGAAGAGGGAGAGAGGGTATTAAGAAAGATGATTATGGTATTTTGGGAAAAATATGTCACATTTTTTATAGTTAACTAACTTACCTAACTTCCTTAATCTAGTCAAATTAGTTAAATGGATCTTATATTAAGATCGGACGAGCATTAGATAAAATTGATGGCTGGCCAAAAAAATTAGATAAAATTGATATACTAATTTAATAATTTTAAGATTTAAGATAGCAACCAGCAAGCCGACCAAATCCACCGCATATTAGGGAGAGAAAAATAAGAAGCAAAGTAAAAAAGACACATTCCATTATAAACGGTAATTATTGTAATTTTAACATCAAAACAGCTTGATCGCTGTTAAATATATTTAGTTATCTTTTTTAAATACATTTTACCGATTTGCCTATGACAATAACTAAATTATGAGTTGATGTTTTGCATCACATATGAAACAAGTTATAACATCTATGGTTTATAATTATAGAATTTTCGTATAAATTTAACATTATATATAAATTAAAAGAGATCACAATAAAAAAGGGAAAAAAGACAGAAAAATGTTAACTTAACTTCAGAATGACCAGAACGTCCGCTGAATTTGCAAAATGCCATTTTGGTCACATGAGACCAAATTGCCCTTCCTTTTGAATATTGTTTTTAAAGTATCACATCCCCACTGGCTAGCCGGTCGCCAGAGCTCCGGCAATGGCACTCAACAAAGCTTCGGCGACCGACTGACAATTGGTCACCGGAGCTCCGTCCGTTAGAATTTTTTTTTTTGAAAATTTTTACGACTTCAGTATAACGGTTAACAACGTTTGTGACGCTATTAACAACTTCAGTATAACATTAACAACAGATTTTCTGAAAAATTCAACAAGCTCCGGCGACCGGAAATAAATTTTTTGAAAATTTTTACAACTTCAGTATAACAGTTAACAACTTTTGTAATGCTATTAACAATTTCAGTATAGCGATTAACAACAGGTTTTTAGGAAAATTCAATAATTGGACGTCGAAGCTCCTGCAGTTAGAAACAGTTTTCTTGAAAATTTTTACAACTTCAGTATAACGATTAACAACTTTTGTAACGCTATTAACAACTTCAGTATAGCAGTTAACAACAGGTTTTTTTGGAAAATTCAACAAGCTCCGGTAGGTGGAAATAATTTTTTTGAAAATTTTTACAACTTCAATATAACGGTTAACAACTTTTGTAACGTTATTAACAACTTTAATATAGCTATTAACAACAGATTTTTTGAGAAATTCAAAAAATAACATTTTTATAACTTTAGTAATGCCGTTAACAAACTCAAAAACTTGTTGTTAACTGTTATATCAAAGTTCTTAACAGAGATACAAAAGTTGTTAACCATTATACTGAAGTTGTAAAAATTTTCAAAAAAAGTAGTTGTTAAAGTTATAAAAATGCCATTTTTTGAATTTTTAAGAAAAACTGTTGTTAAACGCTATACTAAAGTTGTTGATAGAGTTATAGAACTTGTTAACGACATAATTGAAGTTGTAAAAATGCTACTTTTTGAATTTTTTGAAAAACTTATTGTTAACTGCTATACTAAAATTGTTAATAACATTACAAAAATTATTAACCGTTATACTGAAATTATAAAAATTTTCAAAAAATATTGTTGCCAGCCGCCAGAGCTCTAGCAACTAATTATTGAATTTTTCAAAAAACCTGTTGTTAACCGCTATATTGAAGCTGTTAATAGCATTACAAAAGTTGTTAACCGTTATACTAAAATTGTAAAAATTTTCAAAAAAATTCTTTCCGGCTGCCGGAGCTCTAGCGACCAATTGTTGAATTTTCCCAAAAACATGTTGTTAACAGTTATACTAAAGTTGTTAATAGTGTTACAAAAGTTGTTAACCGCTATACTGAAGTTGTAAAAATTTTCAAAAAAATTGTTTTCGGCTATCGGAGCTCCGGCAACCAATTGTTGAATTTCTCCAAAAACCTGTTGCTAACCGCTATACTAAAGTTGTTAATAGCATTACAAAAGTTGTTAACTGTTATACTGAAATTGTAAAAATTTTCAAAAAAAATAACGGAGCTCTGGTGATCAATTGCTAAATTTCTCGAAAAACCTGTTGTTAACCGCTATACTGAAGTTGTTAATAATGATACAAAAGTTGTTAACCGTTATACTGAAGTTGTAAAAATTTTCAAAAAAATTATTTCCGGCCACCGGAGCTTGTTGAATTTCCTAGAAAACCTGTTGTTAACTGCTATACTGAAGTTGTTAATAGCGTTACAAAAGTTGTTAACCGTTATACTGAAATTGTAAAAATTTTCAAGAAAATTGTTTCCGGCCACCGGAGCTCTGGCGTCCAATTATTGAATTTTTCCAAAAACCTGTTGTTAACCACTATATTGAAGTTGTTAATAGCATGACAAAAATTGTTAACTGTTATACTAAAATTGTAAAAAATTTCAAAAATTTTATTTCCGGCCGCCAGAGCTTGTTGAATTTTCCAGAAAACCTGTTGTTAACTGTTATACTAAAGTTGTTAATAGCATCACAAAAGTTGTTAACCATTATACTGAAGTTGTAAAAATTTTCAAAAAAAAAAAATTCTGACCAACGGAGCTCCGGTGACTAATTGTTGGCCGGCCGTTAGAGCTCCGGCAACCAGCCGGCCAGTGGAGCTGTGATAGTTTTAAAACAATATTTAAAAGGAAGGGCAATTTGGTCTTTTTATTTGACATGATAATACCAATTTGGTCTCATGTGACCAAAATGGCATTTTGCAAATTCAACTGACGTTCTGGTCATTCTGAAGTTAAGTTAGCATTTTTCTGTCTTTTTCCCATAAAAAAGCATAGTTTTAAATTTAAAAAAAATAATTATCATCTGTATAAAATATTGAAGTTATAACTATGCAAAACTAACTCGAGTGGTGTAAAGTTTGCTTGTTTTGCTCATTCAAGAATCTGCACTATAAAAATAAGGCTGGGTATACATTGCTTCTTTACACAAAGCTTTAGCTTGGTTTTTTTAATTTTAAAAAGTATATTTTTAGTTATTTAGCTTTAAAATTGTTAACAAAAAATAATGATATTAAGATCTTAAATATTGATAAACTATTTTCAAATACTAACATATTAAGTTTATTAATTTTCAAAACAATCATGATAACTACAAAAAATATCATTTTAAACTAACGATTTTATGGTTAAAGAACTAAAAATATACTTAAATAAATTATACATTTGGTTCTTTAATTTTATATAAGGTTTCAATTTAGTCCACTAACTTGTAAAAAAATATCTTTTTGATTCTTTGATCATAACACCGTTAGGCTTAAATGATGAACACTTTAATTTGATTTGAAAATTTAACTTAATATATTCACATTTGAGAAAGTTTTATCAACATTTATAATCTCAATATTATCATTTATTGTTAACAATTTTAAAGTCAAAGAATAAAAACCACACTCTTTAAAATTTAAAATTAAGAGACCAAATTAAAACTCTGTATACTTTAACCAATATATTATTTAAAGTTAAGAAACTAAACTAAAGCCTCATGTAAATTTAAATGATGAAACGTAGATTTTAATAAAAAATAAAACAACTCCTGATAATTTATGGGAAAATGACATTAAGGTCCCACACAAGCAAATATACAGCAAAAATGTCTCCTGAAATGTGATAATTCTTCTGAAGTCCCAAAGGGACTAGGCTGCCATTTTCAGAAAGTTAAAATGACTTCCTTGCCCTAGGATATTAGAGATAGAAGGCGCTGAGATGAGTTTCCCGCATAGTGTGGCTCTGTTACGGCTGGAAGAGAGGAGATGGAGAAAGAAGGAATGAGCCATTGATAATGAAGTATCTTTCCCATTACCATTAGTGAAGTCCAAAGAGATTCCATTTGAATCTTTACAAATCTTCAGGTCTAGAAATTTCTTTCCTCTCCTCTTCTGGAATATTTTTCTTGACAGATTGATTATGTTTGGGAATGAGAAATCAAAAAATCGTTTTTGCCTTTGGTACTGTAAAGCTTTTGTTTTTGGTCTAAGATGAACAAGTAAATTAATGGAAAAACTGTGTTTTTAGTTGGTGTGTGTTGGTGATTTAAGTTGGGTGTGTAAGATGACCATGGTTGCTCTGTTTTTGGGTTGCTTGTGGGTGGTTTTGCTCTGTTCTGACGTTAGTTTAGGGGCAAAGGAAGGAAAAGATGAAGATTAGTCTGGGTAGAAACCCTTAGCATGAAATGGGATATTGTGCTATCAATCAGGCCGCGATAGTTGTCAATGTGTGCCGTGATAGTTGTCAACGTAGCTCCTTGACTTGTCAATGATAGTTGCGTGATTCTTGATGCAGGTTTAAATTACTGATGACGAGTATGCCTAGAAAGCATCTATTGTGCTTTGTTCATATAGGAGGAAAGTTTATAAATGATGGAGAAGATGATATATGTGGGAGGTAGTGTAAGAACAACAACTATAAAGGAGGGAACAAGTTATGAAGAATTGAAAGAAATTATATCATCAATTGTTAGAAAAGAAAGTAACTCATTTCTCTTGAAATTCTCAGTTGTGTTTGATAAAAAAATATTTGTGGAGTTGGTAGATGATGATGGGGTAGAAAATTTGACAAAATTCAATGAAGAAAGTAGTCATGTGTATATAGAAGAGAATGAAAATAAGGATCACATAGAAGCAACAAGGGATAATGTAATAGAGGAGCAAGATGTGTAAG